CCGACTCAAGAGGAAAACCTATGTGTAAATGATGCATTAAGGCAATGCTCCCTGCAGAAAGAGACAATGGAGTTGGGGATGCTGGGAGGAAAGGTTAAATTCTCAGGAGAGTGTGAAATCGTGAGTAAAGAATCCTATGTTCAGCAGCTTAAACTGTGGATGTGGATGAGGACAAGGAGGTCTGGCTCTCCTGTGGCTGTGAGGGGAACTCCCAAGACTGCAGAATAAGGAGTAGAGCAGAGTTCAGAGAGCAATGAGGACACGGAGACAGAAAAGACATCACAGGGTGTGAGCCCATGGGACAGAGAGTTAAGACGAGGCAGAGGTTACAGCAGCCGCTGGAGAGAACAAATGGAGGAGAAAAAGCAGTGGGAGAATGAGCTGTCACCACAGACAGAAATAAGAAGTGAGTGCAGCTAAGAGTCATAGATGTGGCCGGGTGCGGTGGCTCATGCCTGTAATCCCAGCACTTTGGGAGGCCGAGGCGGGTGGATCACGAGATCAAGAGATCAAGACCATCCTGGTCAACACGGTGAAACCCTGTCTCTATTAAAAATACAAAAAATCAGCTGGGCATGGTNAGATGTGATTACCTCTGCACCCTAAGCGTGAAGGCCAGGGAATCCACTTGCTGGCCCGGAGTTTTCTTTTAATCATCTTGAGTTTCCAACCACTTGAGGCATGAATGTGGCCAATGACTTGACGCCCTTGTGTGTTGTCCGTGGAACCTTCGAGTGCATCATCTTCCAGCTGCGGAGGGTTCTTCAACCCAACAGAGGGCTCTAAAACCAGCTCTGAAAACAAAACGACAGCCAATGGCATCCACTAGCATCCATGATCTTACCGTGACTTTCTCTTCCACCCAAAGGACATCAAATCAGGAATGTGGCCTTGGATAAGAAAGTCCAAAGTGTGAGGGGAAGCCATAGAGTGATTTTAATATTTTCTTTTTGTTGATCTTTCTTCCATTACTCAGTAAGGACAAGTTTGTCAGGAGGCC